TATGATTAACTAAATAATTGGACTTAATTTGATGTTTGGTATCCTCAATAAATTGCTGGGTCGACCCGTCAAAATTATATAATCATGGTTTATCTTGCCTTATCTTGCCTTCTAATGGGTCTTTTTTGTTAACGTTTCAAGCTCCAATAAAATAATTAGGTTTCATTAGATTATTTAATCTTATCTTGGCTAATCTTATCTTGCCAACCAAACAGGACCTTATATGACTATTTGGTATATATCTAATCATTTTACACTGGGACTCATCCAGTAGGAATAAAATTAGAATGTTGAAATTTGGTCGAGATAGTCAATGAGTCCAAACATATCTAGAACCAATATATTGGATTTACTGGAATATTATTCACCGCGCGAGATTCACTGTCTTGCAAGACGACTTTATTTTATTTGCAACTTTCCGACCAGGGGCGGACCTAGGGGTGTTTTCTTGGGGACTGAAATATATGGGTAATTTAAGAAAGGATATTTTTTTTTGTTTTTGGGGACTAAACTGTACAAAATTAAAAGTTTGGGGGGCGAAAGTCCCTTAAATAATCCTTAAATACCCAAAAAAAAAAAAAAAAAAACCAGCTTAAAAAAAATCTTGGGCGGCGGGGGCCACCCCAGACAAAGGCATGGGTACGCCCCTGTTTCCGACATAACTATTTCAAACTATTATCGAAAAATGGGCATATCATGCCAGTGAGTACGAAATGACTTGAAGCATTTCGTATAAAGAAGCAGGAAATAGTGGGGTTTTATAATTTGGGGAAATGTGGGATAACCTCTAGTTTTGAAAATATATAGGGATAGGTCCTATGGATTTTTCTTTCCTAGTCAAAAACCCAAATTTTAATCTTAATTTGATAGACCCCCTAGACAAATCGAAATACCCATTTTGCCCTTTTAATTACAATTCAAAACCCTAAACCCTAGCTTTTTTTTCTTTCCCTACAAAATTAAAAGTTTGGGGGGCGAAAGTACATTAAATAATACATAAATAACAAAAAAAAAAAAAAAAAAAAACAGCTTAAAAAAAATCTTGGGCGGCGGGGGCCACCCCAGACAAAGGCATGGGTACGCCCCTGTTTCCGACATAACTATTTCAAACTATTATCGAAAAATGGGCATATCATGCCAGTGAGTACGAAATGACTTGAAGCATTTCGTATAAAGAAGCAGGAAATAGTGGGGTTTTATAATTTGGGGAAATGTGGGATAACCTCTAGTTCTGAAAAATATTATATGGGATAGGTCCTATGGATTTTTCCTTCCCTAAATAAAAAAACCCACAATTCCTAATCTCTTAATTTTGATAGGCCCTCTAAGACAAATTCGAAAAATCCCCTTTTGCCCTTTTAATACAAATTTAAAAACCCTAAACCCTAGCTTTTTTTTCTCCCCCCCCCACCAATTCTATCAGCCGTCCCCCTCCCGACTCCCCCCACTCTCTCTTTTTCTTTCTCTTTTCTAACTCTCTCTCTCTTCTGTTTCTTTTCTTTTCTCTCTCTTCATCTCTTTTCTCCTCTAACTCTCTCTCTACCCACAGCTTTTCTGCCCACCGTTGCTCCCCCTTCACCTCCTTGGCCGTCGCCGCTGCTCCCCCACCTCCTTGCGCCGCCGCCGCCGTCGCTCCCCTCACCTCCTTGCGCTGCCGCCGTCGCTGCTCCGCCACCGCCGTGCGTCGCTGCTCCGCCACGGCCTTGTGCCGGCCGTCGTTACTCCTCCCACCGCCTTGAACACGGTACTAAACCATTCACTTCACTTTTTTATGTTATTTTTTTAATTTATGAATGTCCATCCATTTTTAATTTATTTTTTAAGATCTGAATTCTCTTAACTATTTCACCTTATTTTATTGTTTTTTTTTATGAAAATCAACTAAATTCAAAAAAATTAAATTGTGATCCGACGATGTGTAGTCAGATCTAAAATTTCAGATCTGAAATTGGTGGTGTTCGATTTGTATATATTTATTGCATTTATATATAAAAAAAACACTGATCTACTATGTTTTTTAAGATCTGTGAACAATTAATATTAAAATATTTTTCTTTGGATTATTTTGATTTTTTATTATAAATCATATTATAATTTATTTGAAGATGATTCCAAATGCCTAAAGTGTGAGAGTTTTGTTTGTCTGTAATGGAAATTTAACCAGTAGTGGTTACTTACATGAGTGATTTGAGTCAGGTGAATATACAATTATATTTAGTCATATACAGTCATGTATAGTCAGTCACATGTAGTCATGTATAGTCATGACTACATGTAACTATACATGACTATATATAGGACTTGTAGTATAATATAGTTATTTGTAGTCGATTTTAGTTCAGTAAATTTTTCAACAAAAAAAATCATATTTTTTTTGTATTTTTCATGTAATTTGATTTTTTATTATAAATCATATATATGTAATTTTTTTTTTTTGTATTTATTTGAAGATGATTTGAAATACCTAATGTGTGAGAGCTTTGTTTGTCTGTAATAGAAATTTAACCAGTAATGGTTACTTACATGGGTGATTTGAGTCGGGTGAATATACAGTTATATTTAGTCATATACAGTTACATATAGTCAGTCACATGTAGTCATGTATAGTCATGACTACTTGTAAACTATACATGACTATATATAGGACTTGTAGTATACTATAGTCATTTGTAGTCGATTTAAGTTCAGTAAATTTATCAACAAAAAAAATCATGTTTTTTTTTGTATTTTTCATGTAACCTAACTCGCATGTTCCATTTTGCTATTTAACTCGTATTTTTTTGTCGCATGTTTTGCTTTTATTATAATTTTATGACATGTAGAGAATAAAATTCGATGAAGTGCCTTTGTGAAGTTGGATTCATGCTACAGTACTCGGGACTTATGCCACTTATATAACTATAGATAATTGTATATAACTATAGTCACGTGTAGTAACATATATTTATATGTATGTTATGTGTTTTTTAATGTATAGTAATGCGTGTTCATGTTTTAAAGATTATATGCATGTGATTGTGTTTTTTTCAATATTTTTGGGTTAGTTGATTTATAATATCAAGATTAAATTGTGAATTTTGTTGTTGGTGTAGATTAATTTTGGGGTAAAAAGACAGTACATGATTACATATAACTATACATGACTGTGGTATACTGTAGTCATATATAGTCAATTCAGTACAGTAAATTATTCCAAAAAAAATTTAAAAAATTAAAAAATTAAAAAAAATTAAAAAATTAAAAAATTAAAAAATTAAAAAAAATTAAAAAAATACCAAATACGATATATATAAAAAATAATAATAAAATAAGAATTTATATTTTTATTAAAATAATCTATAAAAATGATAAATGCAGGCCTAAAATGCTAAATGCAGTTCAGCATTATGCTGAATGTAGGGGCGAAAATGCTGAATGCAGTTGGGTGGAAATTGAACATAAGGGCCCAATAGTACTTTTACCTCTCCAGGGGGTTATATTAAAGAAATAATTTTAAGGGTGGACATAGCCCTATATAAGTACCATATGAGGGGTGTATATCAAATGGGCCCTTATAATTTAGGGTACGAAGCACGAAATAGTGCGTGTGTGTGTGTGTTTTTTTTTTTTGCCTTGCGTAGGTTTACAAGACTTCGAAGTATAGGTAGTTAATGTGATTATCACGTTCTTGTCAACAGTTTCGTCCCCTAAAATACTAGTAAATCAACTATTAAAAGAAAATCACGTTTTTGTAATGTTGCAACTTTGAATTAAAAGGGTCATTGTATCTTGAAAGAGAAGAAACGGGTTCTTGCTTCTACTCCCAAATTTATGTCTCATATTCTAACCATTACGAAATCCACTATATCATTTTTTTTAGAATATAACTAAGTTATAAAGTGCTATATTAATGGACAAATTAGTTTTACTATATGTTCATAAAAAAGACAAAGCTTAAACGATTTTTTCAGTTTCAAATTTTAAGAATATTGTTTCATTTATAAAATTGTTTCTCTCCCTATACTTGTATATCAATATTTCGTACATATTTCGTTAATTATATGCTAAATATACCCTAGAAGACGGTTCTATTGTTTCTTCATTATTTGGACACGTAAAATCAAAGTTATTTTTTCAATTAAATGCCAAAAGTTTAGATGGTTTATTACTAATTACCATATTTATAATTAAATTTTAAAATATGTGGCAATCAGACACCAACATTTTATACATACCTTATATTTGTATATATACTTTCTGTTTGTAATTGAATTTGTCTTGGCTATATTATTACATGTTAAATATTTGTCCGATGTTTTTTATGCTTTTTATTCTATTTCATATTTCATATTCATTAGGTCTCTTATAAATCAATTTTATAAGCAATTGTCACAATGTATAACGGAAAAAAACTAATGATTTATAATCATCTGGAAAATTACAAAATGTATGTGCCAATCAAAAATAAATTCAGAAAATATCAAATTCAGTCTTTGTTTGCTTAAATCTGCAGAAAAACATCATACGAAAAATATAAACATCCCTCAGAAAATTAAGATTATCAACAGTTGTAATTCAGACAAGGCTGAAACTATAATAAATATTGAGTTCATCATCGGGAGATTGAACAATTTAATAAATAAAAACATCAACAACTAAATAAACTTAATTCTCAGATTATTTAAAACTTCGAAAACTTGAAAAAATAGAATAATAAATCGATCAGATAATTGTAGTCTGGAAGAATTTTTTCAAACGTCATTCAAAATGTCCGATTCTCCAATCCTCACCTCGATTTTTCATTAATTAAAAATAAATTTCCCATAAAATTTAAAAATAAAATAAAAATAAAAATAATTAATGAGTGGAAAAATGCTCAGAAGGATCCATTGGTTTCTTTAATCAAAGAGAGTTAACTCCCTTTTCATAAAATAGGTAGTTTTCAACATCACAGCAAACCACTCAAGAATCAAAAATTAAATTAAAAATATTTACTTTTGTTATTTTTATAAATAAATTTCCTGCTCAGATAAAATATAAATAATCAAGAACTAATTTCATACGTCCAGACATAATATAGAATGATCATCACTGCAGATTTATTTATTTATTTATTAGATAAAAAAAATAATTAAAAATCTCAGATAAATTTCCAATAAAGGAATTACACAGACAAATCAACACGGCATCAGTTCAGTCCGCCCGTCTGCTTTTTTCATCATTGACTACTAATTATATCACAATTAACACGTAATTAACAATAAACCCCCAAATTAAAAACAATTTTGAAACCCTAATTTTGAGAGAGGCATCAGACAATAAGCGGAGTTTTTTTATCCACACGGAAATTCAGTGAAAAAGCATAAAGTGATTTTACATCATTTACCTCCTCATAAAATCATTAAACCAAATATTAATCAAAAAAAAAAACTGAAATTGCAATGGAATCAGACAATAAGCGGAGATATTAATCAACACGGATATTCAGCGTGTAGGATAAATCTATTCATCATTTCCCAATCGCAGTTTTAATTCTTCAAAAAAAAAAAAAAAAAAAAAAAGATCTTATTTTTTCGAAAAAATAAAATTGAATTTGGGAATGTTCATTTGACACCAAGGCAATACAAACAGAGTTTGTGTGCTATGGGCTGGTAAGCGTTCCTAAATCGATTTATGCATCAGTTATAACTCCAAGAACAATTTTAATTTTTTCAGAAAAGGAGTGGGTAAAACAGATGCAATCAATCAAATTTCTGATTTTCAAAAATCAGATCTTTATTTGATAATTGAGAAAGAAAAAAAAAATTTAGAAATTAATTTACCGCGATTTCGAAAGAACAGATCGGCATCGCTGCGGATACAGGAGAAATCAGAGAAGAGAGATTGAATTGGGGAAGAAGTGTTTGATGTTTGAGAGGCGGCTATTGGGTTCACTTATATAAAGAATTTCCGAAGCTAGGGTTTAATATGATACAACGGTATGGGCCGCGTTCACGGATTAGGGCTTTACATTTCTCCCTTTCTTATTTTTTTTTTTTTTTTAATTAACAATATTATATTTATTTATTTTATTTTATTTTATTATTATTATCATTATTTACTTATTTCTAATGCATCATAAGATGAATTTTACTTATTTCGTATGATTTAGAAGCTATTAAACGATAGTGTAATTTTATCCAGTGCGCTTATATTATTGGTTCCTTCGTTACAAAAATAAAATAAAAAACAATAAATAAGATTATTGTCATTGCTTATGATTTGGAAATCAACCATAACTATTAGTGGTCATTGGTTTTAACTTTATTTGTTAACGTTGTAAATCAAACTTGAACATGTATTTTTTTTTTTTTAAAGTAAGATATGAAACTCGGTTAGAGCTCGAGTTCAATTAGAAGAAATAAATAATAATAAAATATGTACAAATAGATTCATGTACTCGATCTCGACTCGATTAAAGCTTGTCCGAGCACGACTCGATTGCTTATCAAACCATACTCAACTCAGTTTTGGAGACTCAACAAGAAATACATATATATATATATATATATATATATATATATATATATATATATATATATATATATATATATATTTTTTTTTTTTTTTTATTTTATTTACTAATACTCCTTTTTTATTAGTAAATACTCTAACAACGATAATACTAAAATCTCCATTCTTCCCCTTTTCAATGTTCCAAATGTTGGAAAAAGGAAAAACATGTTGTATCCAAAAGGAAAAACAAGTGAAGTTACACTTTTGCCCTTAGCCTCTATATTTACAAAAAAACCAATTTCATCTAAACAAATAATAAAAGAAAAATTCCAAGCATCAAATACCATTCTCATAAGGTTCATTCCCCTTCTTGACAGCCTCTGCAGGTGGCAAAAAATAATCAAAAGAAAGGCCACAAATATTGAAATCAACCTCTTCAATCTTCCAAGTCTCCTCCAACTTCCACTTCCTCTTCAACGTCTTTCCGTATCTATACAACGAGGCGCTCGTTTTCCCACCGTGCGCTATATTTATCCCGTCCACTATTCTATAGTCCTCGAGCACCGACTCCATGCTCGTCTCGTAAAACACGCTCTCGTCCCCTACGGGCGTCTTCATTCGTATTAGCTTCGTGTCCTCGAATTGGATCAAGAGCCCCGTTCTTTGACTGAAATACCCCCATATCGTGTGGTGGACGACTTCCGTATTCGGGGTGCTTTGTGCCTTGAGAATCTCCGAGCACGTGTCGAGCTTGAGTATGAAACAATCCTCGTTTTGTATGGTCTTTTCGCCTATGCACACCGTGTTCAAGAAAAGGTTGGCCGTTGATCTCGGGTCTAATCCCTTTAAGAAAATCCACGATTCGAGAATTTATAATTTGATCGACATTTCCCACCAAGGGAGTAACTGATTTTCTTGAGTTGTTACTAGTTTCTTTTATTGGGTTTAGCACCCCTGTATTTACTCTAATTGTCAAAGAAAACTCCATATATTATAAATATTAGCAAGACCCCCTGAGATTCAAATTTATCGACAAACTACCCCTAAAAACGCATCATACGAAAAATGCATTATAGGGTGTGTATTTTGCTAATATCTATGACACGGTGCATTTTTTAGCAATTCGTAATAACGTATGGGTATTAAATGCAATACACTCTTCTTTTATTTATCATCAAATTATAAATGATCAGATTTGTCTCTACACATTAAACCTGTAATATTCATTACTTCAACATAGTTAGAAGTTATTAGACCAGAACGAAGACGGACTATTTGGGAGCAAAGTATAATAAGCATGAACACAAACCTACTTATGCATAAACACAATAATTTTGATCAAGAGTTATAAATAAATAAATAAACAAATTGCACCTGAAAAAATCTTCGAAGGGGCCTAGGGGGGCCTCTAGTAGCATTCGAATTCGACGAAGATTGGCTCCACGCAATTTTCCCATCACTCCCCGCACTTATCTTGTGCCCCGAAACAACGAGCTCAAGGTACCATAAATCGGGATTTTTCTGCCAAAGCACAAAACCACCCGCCTCGCAACTTCTTTTAGCGGGCTCGTTATTTTGTTGTTGAACTCCGTCCGATGCCACCTCCATCTTCACTTGACCAACCGCGTACATGCTATTTATAGAATTTAATGCCGATAGTCCACCCGTCGCCGCTAGATATTGTTGCACTATGTACTTTGCCGTGGAGGCTTCCTATTTAAGTTTAAGACAATGGATTAAATATTTGAAATGCACACAAAATTTACAGGGTAAATTACAACCACCTCTGAGGTAAGATCAAATTATGAAAAAACCCCTCATGTTTGGGTAATTACAACTTAAATACAATATAATCTTCTAGATTTCGTAGAATGTTCTCTAGTTTGAACTCTAGTTTGAACTAGTTTTGTGCAAAAATGCAGTTTCTGATGCACAACAATCTGGTATATACAAGCCAAAAAACACATCTAACGGTCATCTTGCTTCAAAATATGGAGCTCGAATGGGATAAAACGGGTACAAACTTGAGAATATTCCATATAATCTAGAAGATTCCACTAAATTTAACGAGGTCAAGAAGATTCATCGTTGAGGGGTAATTGTAATTACTTAAAACAGGAGGAGGTTTTTAGTAATTTAACATTACCTCAGGGGTGGTCGTAATTTACCCTAAATTATATGATAAAAATGGATTAAAATTAATTTTAATTAAAGGGTGGGAAAAATAGAGAATGATGGATGCTTACAATGGAGCCATCCTTAATGGGCTTTGTGATGGCCCGATCCAGCTGGACCCGATAAGGTATGAAGGCCGACCCCACAAGCTTCAACAGAAGCATGAACTGATCAATATTGTTGGTGGTGGTGCCGGAGGAGGAGGAGGAGCCGGAAGACAATGGGTTGGTCACCGACGCCCACTTATCGGCGGCGGAGCTGCGGTGGTGGTGCTGGGCGCGCATGAGGTTGCGCATGTTGTGCCACCGGAGGACGGCGTTGCTGCCCATCTTGTTGAACATCTCCTCCGGTATGGGGACCTCTAGCACCGTCTCCAGACCGCCTTCTTTGTCAAGATTCGGACATAGCTTCCTCATTGAATGGTTAACCATGCATGCACCGTGCCACCAACGCCGCCGCCGCTGACTCGCCGGAATCTTGATTTTTTTTTTTTTTTTCTTTTCGTTGGAAATTAATAATTCGAAGGGGCGAATAATTGATTATTATTACGAAGGAAGAGTTTTTTGGGAAGGAAGAATTGATTGTAGAGAGAGGGCCTTCCCACTTTCCTCTTCCTCTCTTGTTTTATTTATTTTGTTCTTAATTTATTTATTATTTTGATTTTTTATTTTTTTTGTGTGTGTTCTTATAATTTCATTTCAATATTTTATTCTGACGTTTGGGATTTTTTTTTTCTTTTTTGTTTTTGGAGCAAAGAGAATTAGGGAGGTGAAGGGGTGTTAGTTTAAGGTAATCCTTAGTCGTAGGTTGTCGTGTGGGCACGATTTGGCGGGGGTTATACATTACATTGTTTTTTTTTTGTTAAAATTATGAAAATTACAAAACCCTCCATGAACTTAGGCTAAATTACGAAAAGTACCCTCACCTATCCGTAATTACTAAAATCCCCCTGATGTTTGTTTTTGTCTTACATCGACCCCTTTACCATGTAATTTTTCACGGAAATCTTTTTGTTTCGAGAGAGTAGTGCCCAAAAAATGTCGATTCTACCATCGTGGGATTTGTCTATGCTAATTTTTAAACACAAAATTTATTATATTGGGGTATTTATATGTAATTCTTCAATAACATACACACAACTTTTTAGTATTACTATCACCCCCACTGAGGCTAATTTTTATCTTCAGACAGTAGCATAAAGAAATGTCACGTTTACAAGGATTGACATTTTGCAGGAAATATTCATGAAAAATCACATAGTAAATAGGTTGGTGTAAGACAAAAACAAACGTTGAGGTGATTTTGATAATTACTAATAAGTGGGGATATTTTTCGAAATGTACCTTTTTTTTTCTCTCTTTTTCTTTTTTCAACTAAAAAGGAGAAATGTTCCTTGAAATTGGTATTAGGTGATTTTCATAAAAAGTTATAGATGTAATAGTAAACTAATCATATGAATTCACAGAAGAATCCTGGAAACTTGGAGCAATAAATAAATAATAAAATAAATAAATAAAAGAGAGCAGATTTAGGAATATTCTTTGAAGTAATATCAGCTTTGAAGAGTTCTTCACAACCTCCTAACAACTAAAAACCAACACATCACTGCCACACAATCCGTACGAAAAATTTCAATTCTACTTATTTTTGTCATTTTCAGCTTTTAATCATAAAAGACAAATACTAAAATTTGCATTTCGAAATGGACTTCTAAAAACAGGATAACAATTCAGGACATACTATATCTATATATAATACACACACACACACACACACAATAATGATGTAAATAAAAGTTGACCCCTTCAACTAAAAACAACTGTGTGCAGCTAATGAAGTATATATATATATATATATATATATATATATATATATATATATATATATATATATATATATATATGAAGTTAATAATAAGACTTTTTCTTACAAAAAATGACATCAAAAGAATTAACACTGTAGCTTTCAGGTATTAAACCTCATTTCAATTTCATCACTAAGATTTGGCAGTTTCAACCACCCTTCTTTTATTACATACTGCCGGCCTCTCCATTTTTTTTTTCTCTCTAAACGTGTGATACATGTGTGTGTGTGTATATATATATATATAAGCAAGAACATGATTAGTATCATATGATAAAAGCTGAGCCTTTCCTCAATCTTGTCTGAGAAATAAGTAATAAAAGCTGAGCCTTTCCTCAATCTTGTCTGAGAAATAAGCAATGTCCAAAGCCAAAAATCCTAAACTTAGGCTCTCGTTTCTCGATTCATTCCAAATATGTCGCCCGAAGAATCCTTCTTCGATGATTCAAACAGCAAATTTGCCTAAAAACGCCACTAAATATAGCATTTTATCCCATCACAAATCCAAATCATTCGACATCTCCTTCCCGAGTTTCCCTTCCCTTCCCCCATCCACACCGTCAAATAATACGATAACCCCATTTTGCACTACTCAAGATCCATCAAAACCATGCACAATGCTCCAAAATAAGGAAAAAAACACATGCAACTTGCCTAATAATATAATTCCCCCAAGTGATCCACAAAGTTCAAGAACTGCAAAGAAAAAGGACAAGAACAAGACGGAAAAAAATATTTCTTCCGGTAATAGTCACGAGGAAACTATTTATGAAGAGGAGCTACTTATCAACGGAGGCGAGAAATTACCGGTACTTAAGCAGAAGAGTGTTAGAGAGAGGAGATTTAAGCGGTACGGTTCGAAAGAATGGAAAGAAAGTGTGGGTTGTTCTTCTTCTTCTTCTTCTTCTTCTTCGTCGGGGGAGGGGTATAATTGTCATAGTTTCGTTGTGGTGAAGAGGTCTGCGGACCCGTACGAGGATTTCAAGAATTCGATGTGTGAAATGATACTCGAGAAACAGATTTTTGAGCCTGCAGAATTGGAGCAGCTCTTGATGAGTTTCCTTTCCCTCAACTCGAGAATGCACCACAAAGTCATCATCGAGGCTTTCACCGAGATTCTCAAGGAAGTTTTCTGTGGGTGAAACCAAAACCAAGTCTCGAAGCCAAGAGTGCACCAAATATACGAGTGTCTTCGATAAATTTATTTTCTTTTGTTATTTGATTTTTTTTATTTAATTCGATCTTGTGTCTGTATGTGTATGATATGAGGTTTGAGCTGCTAATAAAACTATTCGTTGTAATATACTTTTTTTTGTAATAATACATGTTCTTAAAAACAATTGACCTTCATCTGAACATAATAATACCATGGTTACAAGTTTTACTCCCATAGTAAATAATAATGAAGATTAACAAGAAAAATAAGTATTCAATTTGTTGTGTCCTGTGAGAAAAATAAGGAACAATACAGTGAGACTTACATTACAAGAAACTTCTCAGGGGAACGAGGTTTAACGAGTTTATGACGAGCCAGACGCAGCAGATAAAGTTGAATGATTTATCACTGTTGTTCAGCATCAGACAGTACTGGAGAAGAAGTCGAGTCATTTTCGAAAAATTTGACGTGACAGAGCTTTTCACCAGCTTCGTCGGCAAATATAATCTTCCTCCCCTCTCTGGGGACAGTATCGTTCGAAATAGCTGCTTTGTTCGGAGTCAATTCCTGATAGTTAACAGATAAAGAAAATTAAATCGAATGATTTCAGAGGTCGAATCTTTGTCAGTAATTTATTTTTGATATTTTTAAATAAAGACTAGTATGGAAGAGGGAACTCACCATTATTTTACAGAAACGGTTGCAGTCCCTTGCCATTATCGACAGCCATTTTTTTGCTGTGCCCTCGACTTTTGTGGCATTACTGATGGCCAATTTTACCTGTCGAGAAAAAAGAAACATATCTAAGCTAGGGAGTACTCTGTATCTAACCTCGTACAAATGCGGTTTATGCATATTGAGAGATCTAACGCGTTCGTGTCAAGAAGCCCAAGAACAAATACGGTAGAGTGTTAACTTTGGGTTTATTTGCAGTACAAACCTAATTTTAACTTCAAGAACCAAAAAAAAAAAAGGTAGCATACGTACCTCATCGGCATCATTCTTCAACGAAACATTGCGATACGCTTCAAAGAGCAATTTTTGTTCTACAATGTCCTTCATCGACTTCAACTCGCTCATCAGCTTCATTGAAAGAGACTCCATGTCGTGCATCTGTCGCTGTGAGAATGCAATAGCACTTTCAGAGCAACCTTCAACGGAGGTACACCCAGTACTGAGGTTGGGCAAGGTGCGCGAGAACCTAGAACTTTCAAAATTGCCTTTTGCAACCTGTGATTTCTTTGTGATACTTCTCGGACTTCTAACGAATTTCCGCTGGCTAACCTGCCCAGATCGTCTACTATTAACAGCTGTTTCATCATGCTGTTTTTCTGATCCCAGAGGTGAAGACTTCTTTTCGGTTTGTTTGTCCTTCTTGCATTCTGAAACAACTGCAAACATTGAACATGATGTCAAGAGAGAAATGTGGAGATAATAATTAAAAATTAAAAATTAAAATAACAGCATATATATAACCTTATGGAAGAGCCTTTATAAGTCATTTACCCATACTATATCCACATGGCACAACAAAATGCTAATTCAGGAAATTTTCTCAGGCATAAGAAAAGGAGAAGACTTTAAAATTGGGAGTCAAACATAAGATGGTAAGAGCAAGATTTCATGTTCACCTCTGTTTCAAACAAGTATATCATACACCATCGTTTACATATATCAAGAACATGAAAGACCTTTCTACAAGCCAACTAGCTTCATCTTAAGAGTGTTCCGGGTTGCCACATTAGGCTTTTCAATCCCGTGAGTGAATGAAAAAAACATATCTAAAATCATCAGACAAATTCATGCAATTTGACTTACTATTTTGATCGGCGTCATTCACGGTTTCAACAGAATTCATCACCAAGCATAGTCGCTCTTGAGAAGATGGAGAGATAGCCTGCAAATGAAGACAGCGTTAAACTTAAAATGGTTTCAGCAAACATATATATACAAAAATTAAAATACTGCGCAGAAAACTGCAGCTACCTTTCTTGTTGAATGGAGCCTTTCAGGAGTTTGATGTGGCTCTGACGTTGAAATTTCATCAGCACTATCACAAGTTTGGTTCTTTGACAAGTACTGACTTTCTGTATCAGCGATGGGAGATGCTGAAATCTGCATCTGCTTAGTTTTTAACAACTCATTCTCGCAATTCAAAACATTCCTATCCGTGGGATCAAAGGAACATGTCGGAGGTTGCTCCTCATCAGTATCTTCCATGGGGACCAAGTTCTCATTGGTCGTCAATGAAATAATTGAATCCGGGTTTGAATGACAGTTCTTTGTAAGGCTACTCAGATAGTCATCTAACTCATTTGGAAACTCTGCCTCGGCTTTATTCTGAAGTAGGGCAGTGTTAGATTCCTGATCAAGTTCCTTGCAGCCATCAATACAGTCAATATCCATATCAGGAACTTGGATGCTTGAACTACTTCTTTGCTCCGATGTATCTTCCATAATGAAAGAACTTCTGGAAGGACTACACATATCTGAATTGTGATCTTCAGACAGAGACCTCATGTAAGAATCTGCATCTGCAGTCTCTTTTTGCTCCTCGGTGGCTGAAGGAGGCAACTCTGCAAACTCTTCAAAAACCAATTCTACAGATTCTAATTTTACACACATTTCCACCCAAGGTACAATCATGGAAATAGGCTCGATATCCTCCAAATGATCGTATTGTATCTCATCAGTAACACAATTTTGATGTTCGTCCGCACACAGTAGTGTTTCTCTATATTCATCTTGAACCATCTCCTGAAATTCATTTGATGCTAGCCCACCAGGATTTAGTCCCTCGTAGTTGGATGAGGGGTCACCACAAGAGGCTTTGATTTGACTTCCTAATTCCTCAGTATCTGGAACCTCAACTTTGACACAAATAGGTTCAGAAACCAAATTCTCTTGGGATTTAACAGCAAAGTCAATGGCTGGTGAGGAAGCAACACTCATATTCATGCGTTTTCTTTTGGCCTTGGATGTCTTTGAACGCTTCGGTTTCAAATTGATTATGAGCACATCAAGATCAGACTCATCTTCCACTGGCTCACAATCTGCACTGTCCTTTTTAGAGTACTCGTTGCTAAGAATGTGTTTTCTTTTCTTTGTTAAGAACCTGTTTCTGAGTTGTTTCAATGTGATGTCGTCGTCCGACCCACTGTCCCCATTATCATCAGCATGGGGAACAAATTCATCAGTTTTAGGCTTTACATCCTGTAGTGTTCTATCAGCCCATGGATTTTCACGTTTCACCTGTTCGTGGTCAATGGCCAAGCTTGAAGGAGGCCTTTGTGGTGTTTTGGCATCTTCGTGCTTATATATATCCTTTAAACTCTTGGTTCTAATAACTGGCCTGCCATTGGAATTTATATTTTGAACTTTCATCACCACACCACCTCTAATAGTCTGGATATAATGTGAAGCCCCACAGACCCTTAGTTCCATTCTTGCAGGACAGAGAAGCAAGTGGTTCCCCTAGCTGTCACCGTACAAACAGCAGCTGCAAAAATCTGATAGATCGACAAAACGGGCGAATTCAGCTAATCACCAATTTGAAAGAATGTGCTACCAAACCAAGCTATAAAGCAAGACATAAGTTAATTCTGTTTTGAATGAGGAAACGATATAAATATTGAAGGAGACAAATCAACTCTTATCTCCAAACCATTGGAGCAGGCAAAGCAACTTTTATCTCCAAGAAAAGACTCAAACATATAAGCGAAATATTAGAGATGTGAGAGGACTGTTACAATAACATGTGACAATTCAACTTCAGACGATTTATACCATTTGAGTAGAAGAAAACCCACACAACAAATTGATCAACACAATCAAGAAGGAGAGGCCCACAAAGTACAAACTTAATTCAGATAACCTAACGAGCATTCGAGCACCAAATTCCAGAGAAAACACCGCAAAAAATAACATAGACCAATCAAGAAGGAGAGGCCCACAAACTTAATTCAGATAACCTAACGAGCATTCGAGCACCAAATTCCAGAGAAAACACCGCAAAAAATAACATAGACTAGCACGAAACTCTTGAAATTACAATTTTTTTCAATTTCCAAATTACCAAATAACCGATAATCAGTCAATTTGAAATGGATACGCAATTTGTATGACAAGAAAGAAGAAAAAAAATCCGTTACTATAGAAAACTCTATTTTCAATAACAATTAATTGGACCATAAACCCAGAATAAAAAAGGGGAAACAACAACTCGACGGGTTATTTCTTCAGATCTAAAGCAGGCCAAATGTGTTAAGGTCAAATCCGTTGTTAAAATGTCTCCCAAATTAAACAAAAACAGATCCAAACATCAGAATGGAGAAAATCGCAGCAGCTTTACTCACGAAATAGCAAACAGATCCATAAAATTCCCAATCGAATTAAGCACTGCAATTCAGATGCGTAAAACGTAGCGGGAAAATGTTAACCCTAACATTTCGCAACCAAAATAAATAAATAAATAGACAGACCTAATAAATCTGAAATGAGACGCAGAAAAAAATGCTAATCATCAGATCTCGGCGTGTCGGAAAAGCTCACCTTGCTCTGGGGCAGCGGAAATCACCGAGAAAATTGAAAAATCTGAATGGGCGGAGGAATGGAATGAAGGGTTCAGCCGAGTTGTTTTATACATTCTATACTGTATAAGATGTAAAATCTCGCGGGAAATGGTTTTGGCGGGAAATGGGGTTTTTTCCTTTTTGGGTCGTCAAATGAATATGAAATAACCCCAATTTGTTCCCAATGGGCCCAAGCCAATGATATCCGAACTTAAAGGCCCAATTGGGTCCAATTTCGAACTGCAAATTGCAATTTCGAAATGATTTATGCAGGCGCAAAATAAAATTTGCAGGCACTTTTTTCAAATGAAAACCACAATTCTCTTAAACTTCCTCAAGCTTTTGGAGTTTCTTTGTTAAATCCCGACCGAGATGACAACAGATCGGAAGTAATTTTATTTTATAATTGTTTCGTTACGTAAATTATGAATGTGCAATATATAAATAAGTAAAAGGGCAAGGAAATAAATTAAAAAAAAAAGGGAAGAGAAATAATACAATGCAGCCGGCACTAGCGGAGTTGCTGTGTGCCGGATCAGTAACAAAATGGAATTTAGGTAAATCCAAAGACGTTTGCACCTCGTGCATATATAATAGTACCATCCCCTCTTATCAGTAAAAAAAAAAAACCTACACCAAAAAAAAAAAAAGAGGAAAAATTCACTCTCACCAAACCACCGAAAAATGATGAAGGCGTCGTTCAAAGCTAGATACGAGCCAGACAAAGCGGCGGCCGGCGCCACCGTCGCTTTCAACGCCGGAGATTTCAAGCTCCGCGCCTCCATGACCGATGCCACCGTCGTCAACGGCCCCTGTTTGAACGGCTTAGCTTTAGCAGTCGAGAAACCCGGCTTCTTCATCATCGATTACAACGTCCCCAAAAAAGTGAGTCCTAATTACTTCAAAAAATTATTGAGTTTTAAAACTTACAATTTTTTATTCCGTATTAATTGTTTTATGTATAAAGTTATCGTTTTTCGGTTCTGAAATTCATAAGTTGACTGAAAAATTAAAACTCCAGATACATAGATTTGAAATGTAATCGTCGTCTCGGAATTCTGTGATGTATTTTGTATTGTATTATGTGTGGTCTTATTTACATGGTCGTCTAGTATATATTGAATTAGTGTAGCTTGTGTATTCTGTTTGTTTGATTATGCTTTTAAATTGCAGGATTTTAGGTTTCAGTTCATGAATTCGATTAGGGTTGCAGAGAAACCGTTGAATTTAACTTACATCCACAGCAAAGGGGATTCACGGACGATATTAGATGGGAATTTGGTGATTGATTCGGCGAATAAGGTTTCTGCAAATCATGTGTTCGGCACCGGGAATACAAAGTTTAAATATACTTATTTACATGGTGGATTGGTAACTTTTGAGCCCAGCTATGATTTGGGGAAAAATGCATGGGATTTTGCTGTTTCACGCAAGGCTTATGGGGATGATATGTTTAGGGCCACCTATCAGACATCCAGCAAGAATTTGGGGCTCGAGTGGTCACGGAATTCGAAGGTCAATGGGTCGTTTAAGGTAAATACAATTATTTTGACCCATATTTTATCTTTTGATTGTATTGGACTATGAAATTTCTCGAAGCATTAACCATTAAGTCTGTCAAATGAGGGCCTCTTAGTTCTTCGTAATCGTTTGTCTACTAGGATTTAGTGGCTGACCTACACTAAGAAAAAAAGATTACAGTAGATTATGTTTACTTATTAAAACTGTAAATGCTTGTCGAGAATCTTTCAGAATTTGTCAAGAATCTGTGGGTGAGTGCACTCTTATTGGAGAAATGATTATATTAGTTACTATTTTTAGTTATCGTAACTCTCGAGACGTGTTGAAAACATGGTAAACTTTGACTTGGAGTGAATTTAAACACGATGACACAATTCTTTTTTGTGATGTTTTAAATATATCTGCTGTAATTTACATCTTGTAGCTCTCATACTACTGCATAATCGAAAGCAAGGCAGGAGTTGGTTACCACTTTTTGACTTGCAAAATTGATAAGCTATACCACGAACTTATATAAGTGAAGCCAATACAGATTCGTTTATTAATCACATTCTTTGCTGCCTTTTGTGTACGTATTTGGAATTTGTTCATCTGTTAGTTAGCAACTCACGTATAAAATCGACAATAACGTGTTTTGTGTTCCTATGATTTGCCCACTATGTGTTCTCATCAAGACATTATTATTAAAATATAACATTGCTATCTATCAAATGTTGTCGTAATATCTACCGATTTAGTTAAATGCATCTGTTGTATGTTACTAGTGATGGATCAAATATGTAAATACTGTGGCTGAGTGGATTCTTAGATAGTCGAAAAGTTTGTGTGTTTTTGCTGTAAATTGTTAGAAGTACTTCTCCACTGTCGCTTTCGTTTCAAAATTTAGTCACATCACTTTTTGAGTATCTTAGTACTGCAAGCATGACGAGCTCTTAATTAATTTAAACTTTAATCGTCCGTGCAGATTTCAACATCCGTCAACTTGGCAGAGGAACGCAAAATCCCAAAATTATGTGCCGAGACTACCTGGGACTTCGAAATGTGATCTCTCTCCACTTATTTTTTCAGCAATGCAAGGATTCAATCTGTATGAAGATGATTCATTTTCTTTTTTTGCCTTTAATCACAGCTGTTTATACTGTTCCATTTCCCAATGAGCTAGCTGACATTTTGCAGCAACTTTTAGCTATTATTTGAATTTCAATTTAGAATTTATGCAAGTGCCATGAGAGAGTTTCACTTGTGCAGTGTGCTATGCTTATTCAGTCAACACGGGTAGACATTTGGATTCGTACATCCGTACATCCCGATGGTTATGAACCGATCCGGATCCAATTAGCTCTCAAAAGAAGCCAATTGGTTTCAACTTTCAACTTCCCACCCTAACTTTTGGGTCTTCAAGAATGTCGGTTCGTAATTTCTTGTAGCAATTGTCAAATGGGGTTTTGACGGGCTCGAGCCCAACTAGCACTTTGCATAGAGACAAATGATTCGTATCGGATTTTTACGGTTATGTCCTCGTAAGCTCCGAACATAAATACCTGTCTGTCACTTCCATTATCTTATAGGTACATTAGTTAATATCCACTCAAATACTCAATGGCAAAAGTTATCTCTAATTACTAATTAGAATGTCCTAATCAAAACGTTAGAGAGCAACCGTCGGATAAACCCGGTCACTTTCCATAGTATGTATGACGTAGATTTTTTTAAGTTGATACCCTCCTCCGGTTGACTCCGTTTTCGCGTGCAACGATTTACTATACTTCGTGTCAACTCTTTAACTCGATAATCTGTCAAACTATTCCCCTACCTCGAGTTATTCAAAATCTTTTTAATAGTGTCATATAGCCAAGACAAAACCTAGAATGTGTTGGAGTTGTCATCAAAAAACTATATGAAAATTACAAATTAATGAAATTATAGATACTCCATTAATATTTTTATTGCATTATATTATTCACAATTTACTTAATTTAAGAGAAGATTTGGAAAATAAAAATAAACATCAACGGGCATCTATTATATCTTAAGGGACCTATTTGGAATTTCAAAGAACAACAATTTCAGGGGCAACAAAATCAATTACACTAAAAATAAGGGGTCAAAATGCAAACAATCTAAAAAATTGTTCACAAAAATGGATGAAAACTTTTCGCGGTTAAACATTGCGCTATTTCCTCAAAATTTGAACCATTTGCCGCCTAAAACCCTACCACCAAAAGTGTTTTTCAGGCCGCAATTTGATAAACTCATTCCAGAATTCAGATCCACATCTAATATCATTCCAATAATTTTCTCATCGGATTCCGATCAGGCAGCGAAGATCGCCGATATGGATAGCGACGACGATTATCAGTCATTCTCACCACCGAAGGAGCTTTCGCCGGAAGCCCACAACCGGCGGTTCAAGCGTTTGAAGAAATCCGGTTCGAAACCCTCGAAGGATCCGTTGCCCGAGTCAGTGGACGATCCCCTTTTGTTTCCCGAAGTTGATTTCGCGAAACTAGAAGCTTTGGAGAATGGTTCGAAAATCCCAGATCTGGACGACTCGAATTCATCTCAAGAGTTGATTTTATCTCCGGAATCACTTTCACAAGGCGCTGATGCTGAGAATGCAACGGAGAGTGTGGATGAAATGGATTTTTCGTTCGGAGAAGAGGTTAGGAAAACTAAGAGGGTTTTGGAGTTCGATGCTGATGTGGCTGATGGAGTTGATGCAAACGGAACGTCGATTGTAGACGAAAGCGAAGGTATGGATCTGGAAACGGAGAAGGTGAAGATAGACGAAGAGGATTCGTTTGAGGAAACTAAAGATAAAAAGAAGAAGAAAAAATTGAAGGGTGACAATGGTGATGAATCGAAGACCAAACCGCGAGCTTCTAATAAAAGGAGAGAAGAGAAGGTATCATAATAATCTGTTGTTTTTCTTCTTTCGATTTGATATTCATAAGTTATTTGCGTTTTAATACGGTTAGAGAAAGTAAAGTTCAATTGAATTTTGATCTGTTGTTTTTGCGATTTACAGGAAAGACAAGCTTACCTGAAGGAGCTTCATGCTGAATCTCAGAGACTATTAAGAGGTTTCTCCTTTTTACATTTTTTAATTTCCCGAGTTTGTTGATGTTTTTTTAAATCTGCGGCTTTCTTGATCGTTTCTGAAAGTGGTTTTTTGGTTGACATTTTGCTGATTAGAAACAAGAGACGCTTCTTTTAAACCTATACCCGTGGTGCAGAAACCTATATCATCAGTCCTGGCAAAGATCCGGAAGCGAAAGCTTGAAATCTCGAAAAAGTGGGTAAACTGGCTATCTTCTGTTGTGTCTGCGTTTACATCCATAAATGATTGATGATTTTGCAGAGGTATCGTGAGCTTATATTGATTTTGTTCGGTGGCAGAAATACGATGGCAAAGGAAAGGAGTTACAGTTATGAAGGAAGCAGTTTTTCAACAGACAGACTGATGAACCTTGATTACGCTAACGAAGAGCCGGAAGAAGACAATGTGGAAATAGTTTTGGAAAAGGAGATAGTTGCTCCTTCACTGGACGGAGTCGCTTCTCCCAATGTGGATGAACACTACGATTCTGATAAACAGACAGTTAACGAGAATGATCAAAATCAAGTGGTTTGTGTTCTGTATAATCTTGTTATGTTTCCTTCGTCTAGATTTTTATATCTATATTTCAAGATTGATCGTAGAGTGCTCTACTTGTTCTCTGGTTCGAGTTAGAAAAGTACTTTGATATTGCAGGGAATAATAAAATGAATTTTGGGAATTATCTGACTCTTAGGAGAAATATCTTCCACTTGGATTACATTATTGCTGAATAAGTAACTTTTTTTTTCCTATCACTATGCTGCAGTCAGGAAATGAAGACCCTACACCTGCATTTCGAGCACCAACAAATGATACTCAGGTTTCCTTCAAAAATATTTTGTTTGAATTAGCTTGTGATATCTGCTGGTGTTATGGTTTCGAAATGTTTAAAATGCTTATCAAGTTTTATATACAGGATCTTTTTGATGACTCAGAACCAAACGTCGCTACAGCTACACAGAACGATGACCAACTAAATAGTGATTCGGAAGAAGATTTTGCTCCATCTTTACCTTCTATGAACTTGAAGTTCGATTCAGCTCTTGTGGATGACGACAGGTTAGTGTGTTTGCGACTTCTCTTTACTTTTTGCATGTTTCGGATTCCTGTGATTGGTAAAATAATTGTCTAATTTTCTCCACAATTGTCGCATCTAATTAGCTCTTATTGTCTCATGCTTGTTTTGTTTCCCTTTTTATTTACCATCTTTTATCGATCAGCTCAATTACCATGATGCTCGTATTTACTTTCTAAGAACTGGCCTTTGTTTCTCAATGTTAAATAACCGAGGCGTTCAATTTCCAGTTCTTCAGATGAAGAGGAGGATAATGACAAAGAGAATGTTAACCCTCGTCCCGGTAGAATCACTGATGTTAACTTATCTCCAAATGGCGATCCTATGAAAAAATTCATCGACGAGGAAGCCGAAGAAGAAGATGACAGTGACAATGACCTAAGTCGTTTTCAAGAAAATGAAGAAACTGAAGATATTGACGATTTCGAAGAACTTAATGATATGATAGCAACTGGGTATGAAGAAAGACCCGATGATAAAGACAGGCGCAATGAACTTCATCAAAAGTGGCTCGAGCAACAAGATGCAGCTGGAACAGATAATCTTATGCAGAGACTAAAACGTGGTTTGGGAATTAGAGAATCATTTTTGCCAGATAAAGAACCTGAAACCGACGAGGAGGATGAAGAATTTGACGATGAAGCCAAAGAAGAAGACTCTCTGCCGCAGAATTCTGGTCGAGTAAATATTAAAAAGGCCAAGCAGATAATTCTACAGCTGTTTTCTGAAAAAGAAGATGCTTATTTATCGGATGATGACGATGACACACTTAGGAGGCATGCGCAGCGTCTACTCATCAGAAGAGTGAGATTCTTTATTTAAATTATTTAATATGGTGATATTGTTTTAATTTATTTATTTTTTATTTTTTTTGTTGCTAAATGTTTATTAACTTTGAGCAGGAAGAACAGGCTACGATAGTGTCGCCAGCTGACGACGAAAATTCAAAGGAAGTGTTTGGTCTTATCAAGAAGCTGAACATCGTCTCTGAAAATAAGAGAAAACCGAAAGCATTGTGTAAGATATTTTTCTCTTAGAGTGCAATTTACATACGTCCCTTTATTATTTCGTCACTCATCTGTTAGTTACGATTTGCAGCATTCTTCGACTCGGTGCTTAAAGTGGGAAACGGCGACACCTCTTCAAAGGTAAACTATACATACACACACACTCGAAATACAAACGAGTAATGTACATTAGTTTCTTATTATCGTTTTTGTCACTACAGTCATCTTTCCTCGGACGAGTATCGAACCATTCAATTCCATCATCTCACAAGCAAGTGAGATCAGTTCGATCGTTTATTTTTGGACGGGACGACAGTAATAGCCGAAGTTCCATTTCAATATCAGAGGATTCTTCAGATACAGTAAGTGTTCTTCGATTGCATTAGCGTACTATTCATTCTTCGACTAAAACTTTCATTCATAATATCATATTTTCTCTTACTACGCAGGTTTTAAGAGAAAATCACCCGACCAAGAACCCTACTACCGCTAAATACAGTAGCTCGCAATCCAAAATCAGAAGCCAAACGAGAAATGGTGCTAGCGAAAAAATATCGAAAACTTCGTTGCTCGAGATTCTGAAGCGATCTTCGTCACATTCGCAAGCCAAAAGTCAAGGCAATACGGTAGACCTTACGAAGAGCATGTTTGCTTCTAGAGCTCCAAAAAAGCAAGTGAAGATAGTTGGAAGAAGCTAAACTATATAAAGGCAACTTGTAATACTTTTTAATTCATCATAATATTGTTTATTTTGTATGAATATTAAATTAATTAATACAATATTATTTCAATATACAGTAGGCATCAACTTATGCGAATTCTTAATTTACTGAGTTTATATTGTTGTAGAACTTCGATAAATCAATAATATCACTTGAATAATAATTTCTTCCAATCCTAACTGGGGGTTTGTAGAACCTACACCTAATATAGTTTTACACAATTAATCTACACACACCCATGTGTATGTGTGCTTAGTGTGTAGTTATTTATATAAATCTACGGTCTAAAACCATATAATATATTTTACTAGGTGTAACATCTCATAAGCGAACTCGGGAATAACGTGCTAAATTATTAACTCGATAAATTAATATTCTGCTGAATTAATAAAATTTTCCTGTTGTAACTGTATTAATTTATAAAGGTTATAATACTCTTCCATTATTTGCCTACAATCAATTTGGAATTTATGTCACTACCAATGCCTACCAAGGAAAAAGTCACAAGTCCACTATTAACAAAGTCTCACACTTGAATTTGATTTGATTTAATTTTTTTAATACACACCTTAAAACATATAGGTAGAGTAAGTACTAAATTATTGCTTGGTGTATCTAGTTGATACTATTTTAACATCCTACATACTTTAAACAAAACCTAAATATCCAATTATTAATAGTTAGTTGCAAAATAATATTTTATTGGTGAAAATTACACCGCTTATATACACATTCCATGTATTAATATAATAGCACATGATTAAATTATAAAAACCATTTTATGACAATTAATTGATTGATGCATTAATTATCCATAACAATATTATTTTTAATAAATAGAAGAAAAAGAAAATCAGATAATATCCCTCACTAGGTTATATAATTAGAGGTAAGGACGAACCCTAATTTTAATTTTGATTAAAAAAAAAATAGGTTTCAATTTCTAATTATCATTTAAGCTTAGTTATTTTTATGTATTTTTAAATTATTGTGCCAAATTTACCCATATAAATCACTCGACCTTCAATTTTTGAATTTTGGGATTTCGAGTTTTGAGTTTCGAATTTTCGGCTTTTCGAGTTTAGGGTTTGAGGTTTTCTTATTTTCTTTCTTCCTCTCAAGTCATATATGATAAAATAGTAAACTAAATAAAATTTATATGGCTGTCGTTATTTTGAAGTAGTCTCCTATCACCACGCAGCATAAATCCAGAAAAAAAAAACATGTTTTTACAAATTAATTAAAAAATAAATAATAAAAAAGTTAAAATAAATAAATAAATAAATAAATCATCCCTTCCTACAGTGCTACCTAATTACTCCATAAACACTGTTTTATCACTAATTAATTATTGCGTTTTACCCTAACGGACTTGTTTGAAAGTTTGAACTCATAAAGCAAAAACACCAACTGTAGAGAAAAAACCCAATTCCCCTGTTTTCATTTTTCCGCGCACTCCGATTTTTTTTTTTTTTTCAAACACCTTCATCCACTCTTCTTCTTCGGTCGTTGCGTCGAAGAATCAGCTGTTTTCGTTGCGCGTTTTTTTGATGTGCTTTCGTTTCACTATACGGTCTGCCAAAAAGCGCAGCTGATTGAAGGGAGCAGCTCGTGCGTGTGTGTGTATTACTGGCGGAGGTCAGAAATGGCGGAACCGAGTCGAAACGGCGGCGCCTCCGCGTTATTTTCCGGCGTCGGGATTCCGTCCGGGTTGAACCGGATCAAGACTCGACCGGCTGATGGGAATTCGGGAGCTGAAGACGCCGATCAGTTTAACGAGGGGTATTCGATTTCGGGAACTCATATGAAGCAGAAATCCAAGGCTCTCAATAAAGGACAGGCGAAATTCGGGCATTCTAAAGAAGGTTTGGATTTTTTTTTCACCTGTATGGGAAAATTATATTTTATTTTAATTCCACATGTTTTATTTTCAGACTTATTGGCATGTTTTATTTGGAATTTGCCTTTTAATCCTTAATTTTGGCCTTTTGGGATGGGAAAATCATGCTGTTTTTGCTTTCTCAGTAAAATATTAGGAGTATATGTAGTTGATCAACGGTTTAAGCTCGAATGGTTGTTGAGGAATTTAAATTCAGGAAATCAGCCCAATAATCTTATCTAGTTCTCCCTGTTTGGCAGGTGATCTGTATAGTTCGAGGAATCGTGATAACGGCGACATAGGAAACAAAGGGTAGATAATCTGGTGTTTAAGTTATTTAATTGAAATTGAAATAGAAATTGTTCATTAAGGTGTGGTTCTCTTGTGGATTCATGGCAATAAATAACCTTGACTAATAATTTATGATTATTACCATTAGAACTCGGATGTGCTGGAAACTCATCGTTTCTTGATTTTGAGATATTGATGGTAGAGTGTTTTTATTCATCTTTTCTTACTTCTGTGGATTATATAAATTCTCTCAGTGATTCAATAAATATTGGTGTTTGGGTATTTTGGAGTGGGTTATATACGTGTCAACAGTATGCAAGAAGATAGCGTAGGTAATAATAGGGTTGTCGTCCTACTGATCGGTGGGTAGAAGAAGTATGTGAAGTAAGCCTCGCAACTGAGTGATCTCAGAATTTAACTTGGCATTTAATTACTTTGCCTTTTATGAATCTGGCCTTTCTCCGGATTGAATTGCTTTTTCATCACCCTCTCCACAAAAAAAAAAAAAAAAAAAAAAAAAGAAAAAAAAAGATGGAAAACACAAAATGAACAGAAATGTTCATGAGAACGTTTTTCTCGCACTGAACCTCTTTGCACATCCAACCCTTTTAACCTTTCTAGCAGAAACCATGTTTGTATAAACAGATATCTTCCTTTTAGATTCACATTTAATGAGACTTCATGGCATAGGATATTTTATTCGAATGCAAGAAAGGTTCAAAATCCCATTCCGTATTTTAAGCTTCTGAATTTACTGAGAATTGTCGAGAAGTTAACTTTAAAGACTGGAGGATCAATCGGTGCAGAAACTGACCCTTTAACACGCTCTCTATCACTCTCTCTCTCTCTACGACTGCGCGCACACACACACACACACACACACGCGCAAACATATAGCTCTATACCCATATCTTTTCATCTAGCAATTTGGTAAAATCTATTAGGATATCCTATTAATAATTCTTCATCTGTTACAAAGAAAATGGTATTAACAATTTTTCTAAAATTGCTTATGAGGCAGGATTTCGCAAAGGGAGGAAGATAGCTCGGTGGTTAACTTCATCCCTTTTTAAGGATTCTGATCAATCATTAGAAGATTTCCCCTGTACACAGGTGAGACTTCTTTAGTGAATCTCAGTTGTTTGTATTAAAATGCTTGTTCTCTACCCTTTCTAGATGGTATTGAACTCATGCAAGTAATATGACAGTCTAGTGCCTTGGAGCTCAACAGGCCTGGCAAGGAGGAGGACTGCGGAAGAAAATTGCGCAGGATGGGAAAGAATTCATCTGTAGATTCAACAAAAAATTCACCTACATATAAAGTGCCGAAATGTGTAAAAAGTTTTTCACATGAACTGGGTCCGAAAGGTGGTATCCAATCTGATCATCATAGGGCTCACAGTTATAATGATTTGAAGGTATAACTGATTTATTGCACAAATTTTTGGTTGTTCTATTAGTTTTTTGTTGAATTAAATCTTGTTGCTTGGTGTTTCAAGTTGCTACATTTAAGAATCTTCTCTCAAAATCAGTTCGAGTTTATTTTTCATGTTCTTGTTTATATCGATAAACAGTGGCATTAACCTATAACATGCCATTTAGGAGCTCTTGGGGTCGCTTCGTTTGAAGTTCGATGCTGCAAAAGAAGTTGTGGACATAGAGCTTGGTTCTTTTTCGCGGGACATGCTGCAAGTTTTGCAGAACGATGATTCCCTAACACGAAATGAATGCAAGATGGCAGAGGGACTTTTTGATCTTGCTCAACAATGTATTGACATGACTTCTCTAGACTTCCGCAGGAAATGTGAAACAATCGTCCAAGATTTGACAGTGAAAAGACAGACATGTGAGGCTGGACTGCTGAAATTATTATTCACACGAGTCCTATTCATATTGACTCGGTGCACAAGATTGCTGCATTTTGAGAAGGACAGTGGGATTGTGAATGAGCAATCAATCGACAAGTTCAGAGAATGTTTACAAAGGATTCCTTCAGTGGACATGAATTGGGTTGTGAAAAAGGGGTTTGGAGATTCTGATGCAGGTTATACTAAGAAGCAAAAAGGAGATGTCAAGCAAAAGTTGCAGGGTAAAGATCATAGAGGTGCTCCTTCTCGGGCAACTGAAAGCAGGTCTAAGGAGTCTGCTCACGAGCAGCACACTGGAATCAGAACGAGACACATGTCTATTGAGCAAACAAGATCTCAAAATGCATCTACCGATCTTTTAGATAGCAAGCAGTTTCATATAATTGATGACATATTTCAGATGGAATCTATGAACGGGGATAAAGAGAACTATTTGGATGATTCTACTTTAGTAATTTGTCGGATATGTGAAGAACAAGTTCCTGCTGTTCATTTGGAGCCACATTCTTATATATGTGCTTTTGCAGATAAATGTGTTTCAAAACATTTAGATGTGAATGAAAGTCTCCTTAAACTTGCAGAGTTACTGGAACACCTGTTAGAGTTGCTCAGTTCAAGCAGTCATGAAACTTACGTAAACCCTGAAATTTTGAGGGTACGGACCACTGATTCTACACTAACTACAGAAAGTTGTTCACCTAAATGTAGTGAGTGGAGGAGTAAAGGGATGGATGGAATGCTGGAGGATCTCCATGAGATGGATACTGCATGCATTGAAGATTCCCCTCTTGCAAACTTGATGAACTTGAAAAGTCATTTGCTAACAAAAGTAAACCAATATGGCTCACCATCCACCTCTAATGGAAGCATGACATCAACATCATCCACAAATAGTCCTCGTGCAGGAAATTTCGACATCTTTTGGTTAGATCAAAATAATTTATCTGATCAAGAAGACATACAACAGGTTTGACTTCCTCGACCCTTTCATGTAGTTACATCGAAACAAGTAAATGATCACATCGAATTGATTTTTATATGAAATCCTATTTTATGGTTGAATTTACCAGGGTATTAATGATAAATATTTCACAGAATAAGATGAAGTGAAGAGTTTCCATTAAGTATGATCTACATTGGACCACCAATTTAGTATAGTGTATGTAGATATAGAAAGATGAAAGGAAACAGAAGGCATAAAATATAGAAGTTGAACTCCTAGTATTTTGAATGTCAACCTCATCAGTTCTAAGAGTTAATCTTCATGACTGCTTACGAGAAACCATAGTTAGTGTCATGTAGATAAGCATAGATATTAGCACTTCAGAAATGGGAGAGAGTTTTAAATTATCTTGTGGCAATTTTGGTTAACCATGGGCCCAGACTGTAAGAACTTATTATGACTCTTTGATGTATGTGCACATGATCTTTGAGTGGTACTTCATGAAACTAATAATAAGGGTATAAATTCTGATTTATTAGGGAACCTCATCCAAGAATACATTGTACTAACCTTGAAAAACTCCAGCTCCAAATAAAGGGGCGAGGCTTTGGATCCAACATAGGTTCCAAGTGTAGACAATCCTCTCAAAGCTGACTTAAACTGGATTAGACGATGTTGATCTCATTTAACCTTTTCCGAGCAGAACACTGTGCTGCTATGCTATTGAGTGATGTGGGAAGGATCCTTGACCAGCCTTATTGGATTCATGGTGCATCTTATGATTTTCTATCTTTTTCTAAGGGATTATTGGCTTTTATGCTACTTCATTAGCAAATTAGAATTGCATGTGATGATCATTCCCTTCCTTTATGAGTTTTAACATGCAGAAATATACAAATTTGACTGTGCATTTTATTTGCATAGCATTAAAAAGTTAATTTACGAAGTGTTATTCTTTGAATTTGATTTGCAGATCAATGACCTGGCTGATATTGCCCGCTGCGTGGCAGGGACTGATCTTTTAGAAGAAGGTTCCCATGAGTTGTTACTTGCTTGTTTGCATGACCTGCAAGAGATTTTGCAACATAGCAAGTATAAAGCACTACTAGTGGATACCTTTGGTGGCCGAATTGGAAGCCTCCTGAGGTAATTGTTTAAAAGGACAAGAAAAGGTACATAATTGCGTAATGATGCTTTAGTAAAGCAATCAACATTCTTCCATTGATGTGCAGAGAGAAATATATACTTGCTTGCGATCAAGTGGATAAAATTGATGATATTGGATGTCCAGAAAGCGCCAGATCCTTGCTGGACAGTGCATCTCAGAGTAGCACGACATCAACTCCTTCACATCCTGCACATAAAGAACGTACAAGCATTGATGACTTTGACATTATCAAACCAATCAGCAGAGGAGCCTATGGGAAAGTCTTTCTTGCTAGAAAACGAGCTACAGGGGATCTGTTTGCGATTAAGGTATGTGTTAGAGTGTTTAAGCTCCTGTTATATATTCTAGGATCTGGTAAAATTATATTAACCTTTACACATTTTGGAAGCCAAGAGGGAGAAGGGATATCTTACAATTACAATTTTATATGTCTGTGACCCTAATTTGTTGTCGGTTACATATGAATATGTAGGAATGTCAGACAGATTTCTGTTGTTGAAATGACTTAAAAGCTGCTGAACATAGATTTTTCGGCTATTTGTGCTTGTAATTATAGATGCACGAATGATTCATATTACGTCTCAAATAGTACTATACTTGGCATGGATGTTAAATATGAACTGAAGATATCTTTTAATTTTCATCTAATAGCCAGTGTTTACTTCCTCTTTCTATAAAAATAGCATGTAGCTGTTAACACTCTCTGGACAGTATTCTTTAGAGCTCACTAACAGTTCCACAGTTGTAGAATTTTTTTTCTAGCATTGTGCAGATTTTTCTATCCACTGTAATTATGGTGAAAAATAGTACTTCTAAACCACCTTAAGGATCCATGTCGATTATTATACAGACCATAACTATCTCATTAAAATATTGCTTTATAATACTTGATCTCAAGTTTTCATTTTCTGACTTTTGTACGAAGTTACCTCTTACCTCTAATGTTCAATTTAGAGATGATATGATCTGCTGGGAGTGCAGGTACTCAAGAAACTGGATATGTTAAGGAAGAATGATATCGATCGGATATTAGCCGAGCGCAATATATTAATCGCTGTTCGAAACCCTTTTGTGGTAATTTACTTTACTAATTTAATTCACCAAAACCAAGATTATTTTGGAATCTGCAACTTGAGTAAATTCTTTGTCTATACCAACTAATTTATGAAAGTAATTCAACAACAAAACGACTATCCGATCAAATAAATCAGTTGAAAGTAACTTCTTTAGTCAAACTAGAAAACATGTGAGTTTTATCATGCTTGATCATGTATTAACATAGACTGTGATATTTGCTTCGCAGGTTCGATTTTTTTACTCATTTACCAGTACAGACAACCTCTATTTGGTCATGGAATATCTCAACGGCGGAGATTTGTTTTCTCTGCTAAAAAAGGTCGGTTGCCTTGAGGAAGCTGTTGCTCGTACCTACATTGCTGAATTGGTAAACTTTTCAAATATATATGTAAATAAGCTCTTTATTTTCTCTTAGCAGTTTGTAAGTATAGTTAGGCATCCTGCAGGTACTTGCATTGGAATACCTTCATTCTCTTGGAATAATACATCGTGATCTGAAACCAGACAATATATTAATTGCCCATGATGGGCATATTAAGGTACTGTCCACATTGAGTATGTTCCTTTTTGCTGATTAAGGATTTTTGTATTTTATGGTTCACGAGGCATTAAATAGAAGTTATGTCAGGAAAGTCCCGCATAGTTTTTTTTTTTTGGCTTCTTGTGGTAAATTTATTTTAACTGAGGATATGCCTATGTTTATTATGCTTCCCAAATCGTTTTCGCTCTTTTCATTTTCAAAACATGTGTTTGTTCAGTTTTTCAGTTAACTTTTTAAGAATTGGGAACTCTTAAAATGTGTGTCCACAAATCATTTGACTTGCCATAGTAGAAAATGTCATAACTAATATACAAACATATTTCTTCTAAAATTTGATTTGATCTCTACAGTAAAATTGGTTTTCTCTCAATGTACAACTCAATACACAAATAAACATTATTTATTTTTAGAATCATTTTCCGAAAACACCTCAACTCCCAAAACAAAATGGAAATGTCCCTTGGAAGTCTTTCAAAACATAGAAGCCGGAATTTTCGCTATGAGCTTCTTAGAGAAGTTGTTCATGAAAGGACAAAGAGGTGATGCAATCTTCTGACATACCAAGAATCTTGTAAATGCTAAAGTTATGCCATATTTATTTAGTCTACCCTGATAAAATAAATAATTAGAATCTTCTGTTACAAGGTTTTCACTATGAGACCATGAATTACTAACAAGTGTTGCATAACTTTATCAGCTTACCGACTTTGGATTGTCAAAAATTGGCCTGATGAATTGCACCACTGAGCTGTCCACCCAAGAGGCTGAAAAAAATTACGTTTTAGATACAAATGGTCAGCTCAATACTGATACAGCGGACAGTCACCGGTCAGCTGTTGGTACCCCAGACTACTTGGCACCTGAAATTCTTCTTGGATCAGAGCATGGTTAGGCATTTATGTAGTTTATTTTCAATTCGTGTTTAACACTCTTCTCTTTCTATAATTCTTTTTCATATTCGAAATCCACCAAAATGCTGGGGAAACAAGACATATTGATTACAGCCTTCTGGATGCACCTGTAGGTTATGCTGCAGATTGGTGGTCCGTGGGGATAATCTTATTTGAATTTATAACTGGAGTTCCTCCTTTCAATGCAGAACATCCAGAGGTAATTTGTTAAAGTTTTGATCTCAAAGATAATTTATTTGTTACAAATAATTGTATCACATAACAACTTTCTGTAATCCGTTCTGCATGGGGCATAAGAGTGGGAGGGGAAACCCCAATTTAGAAAGTTCTAAGCACAGGAGTCGCCTTAAAAAAGTTGAAATACTTGATATATACATCTCATGCTAGGTTAGCTTGTTGATATAATTACTCTCTTTGGTAATTTCTGATTGTTGGTCCTATGGTATCGGCAACTGAAGATTTGTAACTCTATTATCTTGCTGGGGGGTTTCTAAATGATTTTCCCTGCCAAGGTTTTTGATAACTCAGTCCTACCTCTGTTCAGGCCGTGACGTTTTGGACTCTTTTAACCTGTTTTACATTTAAAAAAAGCTAGACAATGGTTGATATCGACTAGTCTTAAGTACTTTTGGTCCGGAGTTTATAGAAAATGGTTGATATCTACTATTCTAAAGTTAGTTCAGGCTCTTTATGCCTTGTTTGACACACTTAAGTGCTTCCCTATGATGATAAAATGTAACTTGTTACTTCATGTAATATCTCAGTGCTATGTGGTTAAGAGACAGTTCTGATGTTCTTTGTGATGATTAGATCACCTTGTTCTTTTATTTATTAATCCAGAAAAAAAAAATCCCTAACATTTTGCCTTTTCTTGGTTTGACAGAACATTTTTGACAACATTCTTAACAGAAAAATTCCGTGGCCATCCGTTCCTACTGAAATGTCTTATGACACCCAAAATCTGATTGACAGGTTTGTAATATTCAAAATTGTCAAATGACTAGTGTGCTTATAGCATAGGACAATTCCAATGCAAATAACGGTTATCCAGAATAATTTCATTGCAGATCCTTATAAATCTTATGCTAGCAAGAACAACTTAAAAACTAAGGAAGTAGTTTAATGTTACAATCAATTGAGTCCCATAGTCATCAATCACCTTTTAAAGAGAGAATAAATTCTAGCTCTTTGATGCATTGCGAATTTAAAAACACCTCAACCTTGTTGTTGTTAATCATCTCTCTTGTGTAAATTAGTCGACCTTTATTGTCTTTTTGGTGTGCATTAGCTGAACTATATCGAATTTGGCACAGGCTTCTTGTTCACGATCCAGATGGGCGCCTCGGAGCAAAAGGAGCATCAGAGGTGACATACACTTATTTCAATTTAGCTACACACTTGTTTAGGGGTGGGAACGAGCCGAGCTCGGCTCTTTTGGCCAGCTCGAGCTCGAGCTCGAGTCCATGTTGCCGAGCTCGAGCTCGAGTCCATGTTGCCGAGCTCGAGCTCATCGAGCCAATTTTTTTTGGCTCGAGCTCGAGCTTATTTAATTTTTTTATTTAATTTTTTTATTATTATTTAATTTTTTTATTAAAATCATTTCATTTTTTATAAAAAATTATTCATAGGAAAATAAAAAAAATTATAAAATAAATAATGAATTCTAGTTATATATATTTTTTATTTTTTCTATTATTATTATTATTATTATTATTATTATTATTATTATTATTATTATTATTATTATTATTATTATTATTATTATTATTATTATTATTATTATTATTATTATTATTATTATTATATTTTATATTATTATGAATTATTTAAGTAATATAGATTTGTTTCTATTTAAATACTAGATATATTTATTATTATAGACTATTTACTATTTAGTTAATAATAATAATAATAATAATAATAATAATAATAATAATAATAATAATAAGAATAAGAATAATATATTTAAGAAGAGGCAGCTCGCGAGCTGCCGAACAACTAATTTTGGGCTCGAGCTCGAGCTCGTCCGAAGCTCGAGCTCGAGCTCGAAAAACCCGAGCTCGAGTTTGAGCTTTTTTCGAGCTGGCTCGTCGAGTTCGCGAACCGGCTCGGCTCGTTTGCCACCCCTACACTTGTTGTAATCTGAAGTTTTACTGTTACCCTCTGAACTGAATTTCTCCTTTATATTTCCACCTAGGTAAAAGCACATTCCTTTTTCTCGGGAGTGGATTGGGACAATCTTACCTTACAAAAGGTGCGAGCTATAACTTGACAGTTTTATTGCACATTGCAGATCATGTGCTTCACATTGTTCTTTCATAGCAAAGTTCTTAATTGTCATTTGACGCCACCAAAACCCGATTTGACAACTATGGTTTTGATTGCACGAATTTGTTTGTTGTGCTATCCACTGTTAATATGGATTTCCAGATGTAAAACATCCCACTTTCTTTCAGTTTATTAATGCAGTACCACGCTGCCTATCGGTTTAGGTCTGATAGCTTAAAATTCAGATAAGAGAGATTGTGAAGTGTTAAATGTCTCCAGCCTATACATGATATTTTGAAGGATGACTAATTTACAGTTGGCTAGGATAATAATTTAAGCTCCCTTGAAAAACCATCGCAATCACTGTATTTTCAACTAAGAATATTCCTTCAGTTGTTCTACCGTGTGCTCGCTGTACAATATCATCTTTTTTTTTTCTAAAGTTCAATTTGGTGATGAATGTTTCTGTAGGCTGCATTTGTACCACAACCCGAGAGTATTGACGACACAAGCTATTTTGTATCCCGATATAATTCAGCTGGAATGGAAGTTGACGAAGCTTCTGTTAGTTCAGATTCTCACAGTTCAGAGTTGCACATAAATTCTGGACCAGAAGTAAGTTTTCTTGCTCATAGTTCGCTATAATTCATTAGCAATGGTGAGAAAATTCGTGCTTAGTATTTAAGAAAACCATCACATGAAATTTTCACTTTCTTTCTTGATTTGCGAGAAACTGAAGCTATAAAGTTGAGATACATTACGACATTCAAAATTGTCAAAGATGATCCCTATTCATTGAAATATTTAAGTTCTATTTGTCAATATTGGCATAATGATGGTATTCTAATTGTTTTCTTGTTTCAGAAGATGGATGAATGTGGCGATCTTGCCGAGTTTAATTCTTCACCTATTGATCTTTCGTTGATAAATTTCTCTTTCAAGGTATGTGTGGCAAGCTCCTTCTTTCACATTGCAGTTCTGAGGTTAAATATTATTTTCTTTTGGTTTTACAATTTACCTTGTCTCTTCCATTTTTTTCAATGTCCATGTTCGACATTAACTCTTCTAATAATCTCATCTGTCACCTC